GCAACTCTCTTGAGCGCTGCGACTCAAGATGTAGTGTGACCTTAGACTGTGGCCCTCGTCACCAAGCCACGCTCACTTCTACTGACGCAGCGTCCTGGCAAGGTGAGGTCCTCCCTCTGGCTAGAGGGTCAGCAAGGACTCCCCTGGGGCGCGTTCCTTTCCGTCCTCTGGTCAAGATCCGTGCTTTGCTTGCACTTGCTGTCTGGTCGCAGGCATGAATTTTGCTTCTCCCACAAAATATGTTCTTTTTCATTTGCGGATTTCATAAACAAACGTAACCATACCACATGGGGCTCCTCATAGCTCTCCTGAAAGTAATTCCGATGTTGAAAACTGAAAAATGGGTGTAATTTGCTTTCAGAAAGTGATGTTAGGGTCATGGCAATTTCCCGGGCCGTTATTTATTTTTACTTTAAAGTCTTTAGTGGAGACTTGCTTATGTACTCGGAAACCTTCCAATATGAGAATACCAGTAATCTCGCTCGCCTTCAACGTAGGGGGGGTAGGGGGTGGAGAACAATTACTGAGTGACGCTAATATGGGGAAACCGAAAAGAAATGTCGATTGTTTTTATTGTAATAGAAGGAGTGAGCAAACAGAAAAACCAACCCCGGGTGATCGGAAGCAGGCAGGCGGAGAATTAAAAGCGGGTTTCAGGCGGCCGCAGGCTCCTCCCCTGTGCTCCGAAGGGGAAAGCGGGCGACCAGCTCTCGCAGCCCGCGGGCGGGATCCCACGACCCACAGCGCTCCGGACCGCGGTTGTCCGACTCCGCGTTCCTGGATGGATATCCGAGCTCTGGCCGCACTCCGCGGCCAACCAAGCCACTTCTCAGAGGCGGAGACAGCTCTTGAACCCTGAAGCTCAACAGCTAGAAGGAGAGAGGCTGCTGCGGGGTGACTCTCCCAGCATCTTCGGGCGCTCGACTTCTCAGCGGGTGGGGACTACCGATTCTCCTTGAGCTGGCATGGCCACAGCCGGGCCAAGTCCAGGCCAGCAGGTCAGTGAGTAGGCGCCTCTCCCCTGCCCCCTACGTCAGGCCTGGCTGGGACTGAGCATCCTCGAGAGCTGTCTTGTCATTTCATATCCAGTAGTTGGTCCCTTTAGCCACAGCTCCCCTCCCACGGTTCCACGCGGTCCAGCGGGACCGCAGTCTGGGGAGGACCTCCCTAGCCTTGGGCATGGGACTCACTTCCTGTTGCCGCTTACCACGGGAGTTGCTGGGAGGCCCAGTGGGCAGAGGAGCTACCTCAGACCTTGCGAGGACGTATCAGTGGGCCAAAGTCCGACGAAATCAGGACTCTTTCTGTCTACACCACCGGCCATCCCCCACTCACCCTGGAAGAGGTGCTCTCGTGAGTGCATCGGACCCAGGGTCTTGTCTTTATCTTTATCACATTTCTCCATAGACAGCTGGAAGAAGTCACTGTACTCTGAAAATCCCTATCCTGGAGCTGGACTCTGGCTGTCCGCAACTCCCCCTTAGTGGGTGAGAGACTGCACAGCCGCTTGGACCTTCCTCGGAGTCCTTTCTGTTCCCAGCAGGGGAGTAAGTTGGCGAACCCGTTCCTTAATGTTATCCTCTGCCAGCTCTGCTCTACGTAATGCGACTGGGAACAGAAAGGCCTCTGGAGCTAGTGCATACACACGCCTCCCTCTCGCCTCAGCCTTGCATTTGCAGCCATCAGTGACCTGCAGAGCCGGTGCAGATCAGCGGGTGTCAGTCTAGGTTGGTGGATGGAGGCAGGGCTCTGCCGTCTGCCTGCAGCACTCGGTCGGACCTTCGCAGGCTTCAGGTGCCTTCTGCCAGGCCACACGAGGGTGGCCTCTAAAGGAGCTAGATTCCTATTCCATCTTCCAGTTTGACCCCAGACCTTGCAAGCACCAGGATGTGGGCACCGCAGGTGACTGCGCGAGGCCCCGAGACAGCTGACAGATTTATGGAGACTTTACAGCACCTGGCCTGAGTCTGTGGGGACTGAGCAGAGTCCAGCAGAGGAGGTTGCATGGGGTAAAGCTTCCCCTACAGCATGCCCCGACCTCGAAGTCCCCGGAGCTCCCAAAATTCCCAACTCCTCTCCATCTAGTGTATTCAGCGGTGGGGTCATCAGGGCCTAGTGTGCAGAGCTCCCCCACCAAGTGTAGCCCCCTCCTTCACACTCTCTAGTCCAACCAGCTTTCAGTCTCCCGCTGAGTAAATATTTACCCAAAGAACGGGTTGCCCACCATAGGCCTAGAATGCGCCTAGGGAAAGGCTTTTGGCTTCTCCTCTGCCTTTGTCAGCTGTAGGCCTTACTGGTCCTGTTTTGGTTTTGGTCTTAAATTTCCCCTCCTTAGTTTTCTGATCCCCGTGTGATTTCCACGTCCAGAGATGGCAGTGACTTGGGAACCCTGACCCCATTTGACCCTTGGTCCCCCCCCCCAATTCCAACCTCCTAAACCCACAGTTGGGGCTTTACTAAATCTTAATCTCTCTTAATCTCTCTCTTTCTCCCCGTACCTCTGCCCCTCTCCTCTGCTTTCACCCTTTTTCTCTGCTCGTTCACTCGGGCTCAGCCCATGGCTAGCTACACAACGGGTGCCCTCAGGAGGGTTCAACATCAGTGCCTTCCCCTGGATCCCGCTGCCCCGCTTTTGCTCCAGCAGCGGTGGTTCCTCTTCCTCCCAGGGCTCAGGCCTCGGCATGCAGCAGGTACTTAGCGGTCCAAAGCACCCAAAGGTGATCCTTCGAGCGTTATTGACAATGTGCTAAGTCAAGAGAGCCCAGCACCTGTCTGCGTGAGGAAGGCCTGCCCTGCCGGGCGCCGAGGAGCGCAGGGCAGGGACCTCTCCTCAGCAAGACGCTGCCTGCGCGTGCCCAGCCGGCGGGCAGCAGGTAAGGATACGCGCAGCCACAAACAAGTCCAGCAGCTGAGAACCGAGAGATGGCATCGGACCTGCGCTAGAGCGCGGGAGATGTGCGGCAGCTGAATTAGTAGCAAATGAGTGGGAGTTGCGTACCACCGCACCGCCGGAGCGCTAAACCATATGGGTCTCCGGGTCACTCCGGCCTGGGACTGCAGAACTGGTTAAGCGTTCTCACATAATCCCCAGACCCCCAGCGGGGAATGGGGTCTTGTCAGCCAGTAGGCAGAACGACCTCGTATTTGCATTGCAGCCCAGAAGACTGCGAATGCTCGCTGGGCGCACGAAAGTCGGACGGAGTCGGCGCAGAGGTAGCTACTCACCGCGTGTCTGCAGACAGAGAGGTTTCTCATTCCTTAGCGCAAGCCCACGGCAAAGTCCTAAACTCCCTTCAGATACTGCAAGGTCTCCATTAATTCACACCCAGCACTAGAAAGGAGCTGCTGCTTCTAAAATCTTGGATTCCCCCAAAGCCCTCCTGGTTGTACAGTGCCAGGCAGTGCTAGACAACAGGTATAGAGGCTGGGGCTGGGGTTAGACGGGGGCGACATTTCTGTCAAGTCAAGCTTCCAGAAGATTTTTTAAAATTTGAAACAAGGACAAGTCCAAGCATTTCTAGTTGTGGGATTTTTAATGAGATCACGATGGTAAAGAGTTAAAGATGTTTGAATTCATCTTTATCTTTAAAATCCTTCACGTCTTAATAATTAAGCTTGAACGTGGAATCCCACCACAGAAGCCTGGAGGTCGGGAGATCACTGTGCCTTTCAAGAAGCTCAGGTGAGGATTAGTTTTTCCTGGATTCTTGTCACTTACCGGGAGTCCGGACCCAGTAGGGTTCTCTGTTGTAGACCAAGCCAGACACATCCCTCAGGACTATGGTAGGCTCAGGCGGAATCCTATGTGCCCAAGGACTGTCCTCACTGTCAAGTAGCGGTGTCAGTATCTACCACCCAAGCAGTACAAACTCCCACATTCACTAGAAACATCCCTCATCTTGTTTACTCTTTTGATTCAGTTTCCGCAATCCATACTCGAAATGTGAATAATTTTTGCCGCCCAGAAGCATACAGTACACTTTAGGTTAGGCTTAGAACGAACGGAAGTGAAAATGTAGAAGTAGCCAGAACAGCTGGGCCTCTGGTGGCTGAATAGAAGACGTGGGAATTACGTACATGTGCAGCCTCAATGTCCAGCTTCTTGAGACTAAGCCTCCTTCGTGCTTAAACGAAACTCCCTTCGCCGAAGCACACTGGTGGGAGAAACCTGACACTAGCGGCCCAGCAGGGCTGCGGAGCCCTGCGGGGCGCTGGCCTCTGAGCTGAATGCCCAGCACATCCACCATCGGTCCCCGCTGAGCCGTGCGCTAGCTTTCGCTGCGTGTGGTTACTTTCTCCGCACACCGCGCAGCGCGGCTACTGCCTCGAGCCTGCTCGACTAAGGGTTGACCCCACGATCCTAGACAAGCCCAATGGAGGGACGCCGCAGGAAGTCCGATTCCGGAGGGGCCTCTCTGGCCTTAATAGTGGTCCCCACTTCTAGTTTGGCAGACCCTGAACCTCTGGTCTCTCCAATGGGCCTACTTTCTCACACCTGTGGACTGAAGTGAGGTGGAATCGGCTGGTGACAAAGAACTCTCCTGACAGCACCCGGAGGCCTGCAGGTCAGGGTATTCTAAGCACCTCTCCACCCCCACCCAGGTAAACAGCGGCACTTAAATTCCCATCTAGAGTCTTAATTTGAATTCTGAGACGTTCCTCCAAAGAGGTCTTCTCAGCCCCTTCCCCCTCGAGTCAGACCAAACGCTTTCATTTGCTTGCTTATTCAGCATTTTTACTAGCTTGATTTTGCTGTCTGTTTGTGCTGCCCCTGGGAAGATGTCAAACACCCATTTTCATTGTATTTAGTCACCCAGGTGCGGAGCAAGCCTGAGAGACAGCGGAAGGAGTTGCCCGGATTGGGCTGTCGCTCACGACCCTGCTCCAATCACTACGCTGCTTGCCCTCAGGCCCGCCTCTTTGGGGGCGTGCCCCTAGTGAGTGATAGACGGAGCCGCCCGGCCCAGATCAGCCCAGCCCACGTTGCTGCTTAGATTGAAATGCAGAACTCAAGCCTCTTTCATCGGGGCACAGACTTCCTTCTACTCCTTCCTTTTGCACTCTCGCCGCCTCCTCCCGGGGAGAAGCCGAGGCCCCGGCGGCCCCGGGCAGCGACAGGCCGGTCCACTGAGGCCGTGCGAAAAGTTTCTTTCTGGGAGTGTGGAACTGGAGCCGGGTTGGTGTACTGCTCGGAGCAATGGGTGAGTGGCGGCGGGGGGGGCTGTCAGAGCGGAGAAGGGAGGGAGGGAGCGAGCGGGAGAGGGAGGGAGGGAGCTCGAGGGCGCGCGCCACCGAGCGCTCACACTCTCCTTATTGACTTTGCTCGTGTTCGTACAAGTTGTAGGAACACGCTGAGGGTCAGCGGCGCACAGCAGTTCAGCCTGAACTCTGGCTACCGGGTTGCTGTTGATGCCATTTTCTGATTTTTAAGAGGCGGGAGCTGAGGCTGCAGTGAACCCGCAGCCCTGGTAGCAAACTACTGGGGTTTGTTTCTCCTACGCGCACACACGCAAACAAAACAGGAAAAACCCTCTAGCTTCCCCTGGACTTGGTCTAACTGCGCGGCTCCTCAGGCCCTGCAGTAGGGGTGGGGTGGGGGAGGGCGGCCCGCCGGTTTAGTGGGAGCAAGGAAACCCGGAGCGCGATCAGGAATCAAGACCCGTTTCCCCGCCTGCGTCGGAGACTTTCGAATCCTCGGAGCGGCCCTGCGTCTCACCACTTCATTTGTCTGTAGTGATCGCTTGTGCCGCAGGAATGGGAGAGCAGGTCTGACCCGACCTTGGCCACTTGGGGCCGTTAGACAATGTTAGGGGACCGGATGGTTTGGGGACAGCTTCAGACGTTAGCCTGGGGCGGGTGCGTTCGCTCTGCCCCGGGACGCGCACGGAGGCCGGGTGGCAGGCTGCTGTCCCAAGCAGCGGGTGCGCGTCCCCGCGCTCCTTGTGTTCGTTTTGCAGAGCCTGCCTTTGGGGAGGTGAACCAGCTGGGAGGAGTGTTTGTAAACGGGAGGCCGCTGCCCAACGCCATCCGGCTTCGCATAGTGGAACTGGCCCAACTGGGCATCCGACCGTGTGACATCAGCCGCCAGTTAAGGGTCTCTCACGGCTGCGTCAGCAAGATCTTGGCGCGCTACAACGAGACAGGCTCGATCTTGCCAGGAGCCATCGGGGGCAGCAAGCCCCGGGTCACTACCCCCACAGTAGTGAAACACATCCGGACCTACAAGCAGAGGGACCCCGGCATCTTCGCCTGGGAGATCCGGGACCGCCTGCTGGCCGACGGCGTATGCGACAAGTACAACGTGCCCTCCGTGAGCTCCATCAGCCGCATCCTGCGCAACAAGATCGGCAACTTGGCTCAGCAGGGCCATTACGACTCCTACAAGCAGCACCAGCCGGCGCCTCAGCCAGCGCTGCCCTACAATCACATCTATTCGTACCCCAGCCCCATCACGGCGGCGGCTGCCCAGGGTGCCCCACCCAC